TATATCTCTACTCTCTCTCTCTCTCTCTCTCTCTCTCTACTCTCTCTCTCTAAATGGTTTAGCCGATGCAATTAACGTCCCCTAGAATTGATCTTGTGTTTAGAATACATAGAATGCGATAAAATGCGGGTGATAGAGGACGAATGGACGAATTATCATAATCCATCGGCCTTTACGTCGAAACGACAGCATTCTATCGCGCATGTGACGCGTCGCCACCCCGCATTCCCACACTTACGTTTTAATAATGAAGGAAAAAAAAACAGGTGGTCCCTGCCGCACAAGTGTCGCACCCAGCAGGTATCGTTAATTTTGCTTAATTCTTTTTAATTGAATAATTACGGAATGGAAGTTGAGAATACGGAACCACCTTTTTAAAGTTAATTTCAGCAAGGTTAATTTTTTTAATGTTATATATAATGTGAAGAAACAGCGATGGTAACAATACGAATTACATTATCCATTTTCAGAAGACATCGTAAGTTTTGTTAAGTTATTGATGTAAAAGTTATGAAAATTACATGAAAATTATAAGTTAAGAGATGTATGAATTCATATTATTTTATGCTAACAAATTTTTTCTCTCTCATTAAAATTAAAAGAAATTAGTAAAAAAATTATTATAATTGTATTTTTATTCGTAAAGTTTTATTATATTAAAGCAAAGTATTTTATGCTCATATGTTCTAAAAGATCTTCTATACAAAACTAAAAAAACATGAGTTTTAAAATTCTATATCTCCTGACAATTACAGATCAGTTTAAAATAAGATCAGTTTACTTTCTTATCTCTGATTTTAGAATACATTGCGACTACAAAGAAAAGAATAGTTTTATTAAAGCGTCAAAATTTAGCCAGATACAGATTTAAAAATAATTTTACTAAACTATCAAAATATTTATATGCACGCATTTAAATCGATTGCTAAGATATACAAAATTTGTGCTGTATTTTATCATCATGATTAAGCAGCGGGCGATTCTTTTAATGCCAACAAAATTAATTCCAACAAAATTATTTTTTAGATCTATATGGAGTCAGATTTTCAGATACGTTAGCAAAATCCGTTCCTTCCGTTTAGGTATCAAAAGTTTCGAGAAGACTGCTTTTGACTATACAGTCACGTTCAAATTTGATAGCCACATGTGCACGCGATAATCCTATTTAGAGATACCGAGAATTCGACGATTATTATATCAGCGGAGCGTCTGAGCGCACTTTCCCGTAAAAATAATTACCCGCGAAATCCCTCCTGCTTTCCCATAACTCTCGTGTCCATGTGGCGACCGTGGCATCGTTAATAGGGCCGTAAGGACAGACCCTGCATATTCTAAGTACACCTGCGAGGCTCGCGTGTAGTAGCTGCACCTCGCACCCCGTGTTTCATGGACGATGAGCGTGGGAGTGCAGCCTGAAGCTGGCCCTCACGCTGCACACAGAGGCGCGTGGCTCTCTCTCTCTCTTCTTTTTTTCTTTTTCTACCAAAGCCAGTCGTTTTTAGGTTTCAGGTCACATTGCGACCGCCTAAAAATGCGACTTGGACTTGGAGGAACGGAGCGTGTCGTTACGAGAAGTTTATTTAATTAGCCTAATGTCCTTGTTACGATTGCAAATCGATTATTATTTTGAATCAACAAACGTATGCAACTAACTGTGTTACAATTAACACAGTTTTGCGACCGCATAATGACATGTAGTATATATTTAAAAGCGAAATTCATTAGGTCGTAGCAATATATTTTTTCTATAACCGATAAGAACGGCTACAAATTGTTGCGTGTAAACACACGTTAACATGAAAAGACAAATTTATTAATTTTTAACTTATTATTCCTGCTATAAAAATGTATAATAATGGCTCGATGATTAAAAAACTCGATTTTTAAATTTCCATTATTTAAATTCCTGAATTTAATTTTCTAAATTTAAACTATGGGAACATTAACATGAATAAGTTGATGTTATTAAAAAAATAAGAAGTTTCAATGAATTCTTGAAATGTCTCCTATTCGCATAACTCATGTTTCTTCCTTGCGAATGATTGATCAAATTGATTGTTGGTAAATATAAAAATTTGGCCAGATATAGATCTGAAAATAATTTTGTTTATCTATCGTATAAACATGATAATAACATTACAAAATTTTTTTATTTCGCAGCAATCAATTTGAACGTATATGTGTAACAATTCAAAAGGCTCGATAAAATTATTTTCAGATCTGTATCTTCCTCTGTATTAAATTATAGACAAGATTTCTAAATTAAACTAAAAACAGACAAAATATCAACGACTATAAAGTCTCGATATATCTCCCCCGATATTCCCCCCTCTCCCCCCAAGTACATTTTCTATCTAAATATAATTTCCTTCGAACCCGATGACGCAGGCTGAGCGCGTTTGTTAATTAATGGATCAACAGGTAAGGAAATTTCGGCAGCTACGACGTTTCGAGAAAGTATCTCGGGGCCGGGAGGGAAAGGGAGGGGGAGGAAGGGGAAGCCGCAGCGCGCGAGAAAGCGGTGACGCCGGGGGAAACGATGCACAAGTTATGGT